GCTCAGGCACCAGAGATCCAACCGATACCAGTTACCGAACTCGTCTGGCATGAAGCGGAAGGCGATCCTGCAGTCGGACGCTGGCCAGGGAGAGTTGATACATATTTTGACCTCTATGTTGCGAGCATTTGGAATATTGCTCGCACCGCTCGATTGCTTCTTTTCACACTTGATCTGATGCTTTCAGAGAAGCTCGATCCCGACGACAACTCTATTTATCGCTTAGACTCTGTGACGACAATCATTGAAGACATGATCTCGTCAATTCCTTATCATTTATCGGAAAACATATACGATTTCCTCAAAGGGTCTGACATGGACGTAATGGAGCCTGGAAGAACCCTTGGAGGATTCCTTCTCATGTATCCAGTACATATTGCTTCAAGAACCCCATTCATTTCCATGGAGATGAGGAATTATCTCGAAAATTGCCTGTTATGGATGACATCCTATATGGGTATTGGACAGGCAAGCATTCTGGCAAAGGTGAAGTCACTCGTAACTTTGAATCTAGTCTTATGAAGTCATTGTCCCTTAATGCGGCTAACCATGTTCTTCCTTCCAGACTTTGGCGATTGATAGAAACTCCATTGAAAATGCATCTATGATAATCTGGTACGGCTTTCTCGACTAACGATCATTCCTGAATCTTGGGAATCTCGGACGATCTTTATACAAAAATGCCCCATCATCGAAGAAATACTTAAAGATGACATCATGGTCTAGTGGTCCCGGGGAAATTAACATAGCCTTTACCTGCTACGAAGGTGGCGTGCCAGGGGACCTCGCCAGGATTCTCAGCCAGCTTAAGATAGAACTCCGCAGCCCCAGGCCCAGAGATGTCTTTGAGGGCCAATGAACTGCCATCGGCTTGACGCTCATCCGCAAAGAAGAATCTATCCCATGAATTACTCCCTGAGTCATTGAAGGTATTCACATGGAGTCAACGTACCTGTATCCTTTGTCTCTGAATGTCTTCGAGGCTACTCCAACCCAATAACTCGCGGCACTCTTCCCTGATCCCAGTGTTACGAGGCGAGGAACAGGTTGAGTGATTACGGATAGATTGTTTCCAGTATAAATGAATGCATTTGGGGCATCATTATTTGCCGAATTTTCGAAACCATCTACCGCTTGGCTGGCGGCAAGATACGCACTTGTATTCATGACCGCTAGGTCCGCTTCCAACTTCTCTATTGGGACTGAGAAGATGTTGGTGAGATCTTCTGGTATGGTTAATGCGCCAGTATTGTAAACAACCACAGTGGGATGACCGCCAAGTTGCTTAAACACAGTCTCGAAGATGGTCGGAATTGAAGAAGGTTTGCTAAGATCAGCCTGGAGCATTAGAAAGCCATCTGGCGTAACTTCGCCATCGTTGGCACTTCGTGATACGAGTGCCACCTTGTATCCAGCCTCTTTAAAGCGTTGGGCAAGGCTTCGGCCGATATTCGGCCCTGCACCAAGGACGAGAAGTATTTTGGAGCCATTCATATTGAAATGAAGAAATTTCGTAGATTTTGTGAAATGCAAAAATTTGCCTCATAGACTTCAGAAATATGATTAGAAAGCACATGTTTCGAGATTATTGAGAATTCTTGAGTTTGGCCTTTATAAGTACACCCAGCATTTCAACGACTTGAGTTAAGGAACGATGGTAGTAATTTAGTCAGACTTTGGCGACACAAGATTTCGACTACTCAGGTTAGTCTTGCGCATTCGGTCTCAAGGTGCCGAGGTGAACGCACACTGGCGACACCAGAACATACAAAGCTGTTTTGGGTTAGGCTTGCGCGAGTACGGTCTTGACAAAGTTCGTGGGAGGACGAAGCTTACTGGTGGCAAGTGCTTCAGTAGACACATCTTCCTTGTACGCGCGGGATATCTAGGTCCGATGGACACTGTTCTGAATACTATCCTGACACATTTTGCGGCTATTGTTGATGTACATGGAAAAGGCGGAGAAAGTTGCATTATGAAACATCATTAGATTAATATCATTTTCGATACAGCCTCATTTGACAGCAATGCTCCCGGTACTTCACATTTCTCCTCGGAAATAAGCCGGAACAGAGTTTTGCTTTCTGGAAACTGCATATATTACACAACTAAAGTCGCGTCACGTATAGGTAATCGTGAGCGGTGAGTTCGAGGAGTTCTGAGATCATGATGCATCAATTCTACATCCAGATTGTCCTTAGCTTACTGCCTTTTCTTGCCGCATCAGATACTCCGCCAGCAGATTTTCAAGCAAACCCTAGTATTGGTCCAGGGGGCACAAATTACAAGGACTCTCCGCATTTTCGGATTTATAATGCACCCAATGAAACCATTGCAGATGCAACAATAAAAGGTCTTGAGGCCGCTTACTCTTGTTTCATTACCAACCTCGGGTGGAGGTCAACCGGGCTATCGTTTCGTCAAGATAACGACGATGGCCCATTCTATAAGGTTAATGTCTATCGAGTTGACTCGCTTCCGGGTGCGTCCGCGAACACAGGAACGGATCAAACCGCAGGCCTAAGCTTTCTCAACGTGGTCACACAATACATGACAGAGCCATCTGTGACAGTTCATGGATTTGGCCATGCTATGACGTATGCAGCCAAGTATTGGATTGATCAGACACGAACAGGGGCTTGGTGGGAAACTGTTGCGAATTTTGTCGCGGACACATACTTAACATCGCCCCTTTGTGCGCCGTCGCGAGCTCAATACGGACAACAGGAAGGGAAAACCCTCATAGACCTGAGAAAGGTGATTGGAGATTCGTTTCAGGTTATTGTAGACGGATCGAAGGGAACCGGGAACTATTACCAAGCGTGGCCGTTTTTGACCTATTTATTCTACAACCCTGATAACTACACTGGACTAGGCCATCAAATATTTCCAAATGTGTGGACTAAGTACAGTCGCGATAGTAACGAAACACCGCTACATGTTCTCCAGAGATTGGTTGCACCGGTTAGCATTCAGAAAGTTGTTGGGCAATATTGGGCCAGAATGGCATATGTAGATATCGGACATCCAAAAGCCCAAGAGCAATTCAATTCCCAACGACGGGCTTTGAACTATGCTAACTTGGATTTGCAAGGAAATGGAAGATACCGCGTTAAATCTGCTCGACAGCCGCGATACATGGGAGCCAACATTGTCCCATTAAAGGGGGCAGGGACCATTACAGTCAATTTGACAGCGAATGCACCTTTTAGGGCGACACTTATAGTCCGGACCGCTGGGGGAGCTATTAGGTATATGGATTTGAAACAAGGCTATGGTCAAATGATGGTTGCGAGCGGAGAGGAGACCACTTTAGTAGTCACGAACACTCCCAGCGTCCTACTACTATATGATCCATTTTCGTTAACAGCTGAAGTCAATACGGGATTAGACTATCAGGTTCAAATAAACGGTGCATCTATCTAGCCGGCTATTTACAGGACAAGGAAGTTGAAATTTATCTAGTGAAAGCCCTAGAGACTGAGTCATACACCCTGTCACCTACCAACGTACAATTATGCACTCTATGCTAACTTGTTCGAAGTGTGAGAACAGAGTGTTCATCTGCTTTTGAATTCTTTGCATTGGGTTCTACAAGTTATTAATGCTGCCGGGCACAGCTATTTAGCCTCACTTGTCTTTTGATGGATGTCGAGATTTTGAAGAGACTAATGTAGCCACCAGATAATTGTTATGGTAAGGATACCTGGCATTGTTCAGATTAAATAGTACTTTCAAATAGAGCTTAAAAGATGATTGTAATGATAGTGTGTGGCTAGCTACCTGACACCTACCTAGCCAAGTAAGCTTGTCAAAAAGGGACGCCTATATAAAGCCAAGTCGGTTAGGAGAATAGTACATAGCACTCGATAGATGCCTTTAATATCATTTCGCAGGCCTGAATATGGATTGTGGACCGGCAGACTATAGAGGAGTGGGAGGGCGTTCCGCCTCAGGCTGGTATTCAACTTCACGAACTCTGTTATCGCTGGTTTCTCCAAAACCAGCGTTTCACTCCTGAAGACTTGGCGAATTCACATTAAGAAAAGAGACAATATCTATTATTGGAACAATGATGTATTTTAGATACGCTTCGAATGAATCAGGCGAGGACTTTGTGCTTGATACAGTGATAGGTGACTGAGTTAACACTTACAGCGCGTGGTAATCCAGTTGGAGCTTTCCCTCTAGATATAGGGATTGAAAGGCAAAATACCGGAACATTAATGAACAGGTAAATAAGATTCAATGTAAACGGCCTATTGAGAGGTCTCGACTTGATATAGCGAGTATTTAGCTACTAGGGCACTTGTGTATTTATTTGATTGCCCACCCCATCCTAGAGTCAAGAGCTCGGAAGCATCGCTTGACCCAACTCACGACATCTTCAGGGATTTAGATTCAAATAATTCGATATTTTTCCACGTACGACCATAGATGGTAGAATACAGACGATCCCGTCCGCTCTCGTGTTACTTAACCTACTAATCGCCAGACCAGTAGTTGGGTCGGTGACGACCAGCGAATCCCTGGTGTTGTACGTTGAAATGATATTTTCTTTTTTTAGGGCATTTTTCTTTTTTGGTTCTTTCTGGCGCGGATTCCTGGTTTCGCCAATCTCCCGGTCTGCGATCTGGCGAAGTTGTTACATGAATAAAAACTATCCCGAATTAACTTATTGATAATATCCCTGCAAGGCGCCAGGTCCGTATGCTAATGCATGTTAACTAGGACCATGGAGATCGATTTTGTATGTTGCTAGACGGGCGTGGGAATGTGTTGAGTTACAAAGACGAAGAGTTGAGGGGTACTACGACGCAAAGAGATAAGCAAACGAACGGATCATGATGTTTATTAGTTCACATTAGAGAGCGTTGTGTCAGTGTCTATGCAGAATGAAAGTCTCGTAGGAGTAGATACGGAAGTCTAGATGCATCTTTGATTTGTGTTTATGCCATCTCGATGATTCTATCGTCTCTCGTCTAAATCTTTATTCGGCATCAATAATTGCAGATAGCGCCAACATCATCATCCATGGTCCACGTATCCGCAAGGCCAGCAACCTCGACTTCAACTGTCGGGGGTGCAGGCTCCTCCGGCTTCCCAAGGAAGAAATCATTCTTGCCTTCATTGCGGATCCGCCGGCTCATGAACCGGCGAGTCCACTCTTCAACGGCGGGTTCACCTGTCTCATCTCGGGCTTGTTTCAAGAAAGAAATCAAGGCAGTACCACCTGTACCGGTGAGTTTCTTCGGATCTCCCTCAAAGGCAATACCACGAGGCTGATTTTGAACCTGCCGCGCAGCAGTGGCAAGATTGACTCTCCGAGTTGCTACCGGGCTTCTAGAGCGACTGCGAGCACGAACCTCGCGGGACGGTGTGACGATATAGCGCGTAACGATCGCGATGTGCTTGTCACGGAGTGCACTCAGCATGGTAAGACACGCATCGTAAGCCAAAGAAAGCTGTGTGTTCTCGGGATGAGATTCGACAAAGTCACGGATGTTGGCGACAGCCGAAACATCGTTAAGAAAGCGTGCATGCGGACCGGGCATGTAGCGGCGCATCTCCATGATGAAGTTGTGCCTCGGGGGAGGGGCACGACCCTCCCGATCAGATTCATGGGGATCACCCCCTTTTTCGCCTGTTGGACGGTGCTCTATGCCGAGGACAACGTCGAAGAACTGAATGATGGAGCTCTGTGCGTTGCTGCCGCCGCTGTACTGGCGGTATTCCTTTTTGCCAGAGCCATCATCGTAGATAACTCCACGAGGGAGCCCAGCATCGGCCATATTCTTGCTGCCAGCAAGGAACGGTCGAATCCGATGATAAAACACATGAGGGTCGCAGTTCTCATGCATTCGATGCAGGAGGTTGCCGAGATCATCCAAGCGCTCAGCGAAAATCCTCAAACAGCGAGTGACAGATCCCGAGTCATTTGCGCGTGCTGCCGCGATAGCAGTCAACATCAATGGAATGATTGGGGCACCGCGCGCTTCGATAGCGACAGAGACGAGGTAAAACCAAGACTCATCGAGTGCACCTGTGAAAGTGTGCAGAGTAGCAAGATTTTCGAGGTTGTCGATGGTCTCATCCATAAACATTGGTTTGAAGTTCCAAAGACAGAGTGATGCATAGGTGGCGACCGGTGGCACCTCAAGACGCTCTGAAACCTTCAACAATGGCACGGAGATTGAAGGGGGTAGGCGTTCACTGGGACTGTCACCACCCCAGATATAGCCATGGGCCATGAATGTCAGCAAGCTGTAAGCTCTTCGCCATTCTGCGTCATGTTCCAGACCGATGGTGGAGAACACGGGAAGTCGATCAATGACTCCTCTCAAACGCTTGCTGAGGATCAAAGCCTGCAAGTTAGCCGCGATAGCCTCCCATTTGTTGTAATATGGGTCAGGAAGTCTTGTCAATGGCAGAACATCCGGGAGAAATCCGTGAGTTGGAGAGATTCCATAATCGGATAAAACCGGGATGGGTGGAAACATGACTTTAAAGAGAGCTGAACCTCTCAAGATGTTCGTTGAGTGACTGGGTCAACACAAGAAGCGAGAATGGCGTTTCTGTATTCCAAGAAATTACAAATCTCACAGGTGGATGGTAGTATGAGCTGATCTTCTCAGGTGTTATCAAAAGAGACTTAGTAATGGTAGCTGGAGTTGCTGGTGGCTCAAACAATGAAGTCCTGACGCAAGGAGTATACAGAATCAACTCTGATATACTCCTCAGCCGTGCGACAACCTTGTTGGCTCGTGAGCATGTAAATGGGACTGATTCACTTGACAGATCGACTGAAGCTGTTGAAGAAAGAAGAAGGAAAGGGAAAAGTCTTCCCGGAAAGAGTGGAAACTTAAAGAACGCAAGGCCGCGTGCTTCGCTTCGCTTGGCTTTAGACTAAGATCATTAGTCATAAGCAGTCTCGCCCGAACGGAAGGCAACATCACTAATACCACGCTACTTTCCACTAATTAACTCTGGCTCCGCGCTCTCCGCAATGTCTCATTCTTGACTTGGCCACCCACAACCCTAACCCTCTTGTTATTGAAGCAGCTCGAATTAAGCTTGACCTCCAGCTTCAGCCCGACATCGGGTCTCAAATGTGATTTCATCAAAGCTCATAATCGGCTTGCGAAGCCCACGTTTTGCAAGAGTTAATTGATAATCTCATTGGGCTGTGTCTCAACTTGACTTAATATGAAGAAAAGCACATTCTGGCGCGGACGCTCTTCTTCTGCAACTAACCGATCTACTGTGTAACCCAGGTTGCTCTCTCTCAATGATGGCAACTTCACTTGTATCTGTAGCCTTTTCAAAAGGAAAGCGCACAACAATGTTCCAAGCTCAGCATGAAGACAGTTGCTCAGTCTCCAACACTTACGAAACCTTTGAAATTGCTAGAACGGGTTGTTATAATCCACCTCCATGACGATGTCCTGGGCAGTTTGTATCTAGGCCTAGCGGAATATCCGCAACTATAGAGCCTTATTTCCCCCATCATATGTGTAACTCTAGGCTAAGTATTAGCTTGTACTGCTGCTCCGAGGTCTATGTATGTCTATGTTAACTACTTTGAGCGATTCAAGTTTGACTGTGAATTTGAGAACTCGTCTAGCAAAAGTAGCAAATAGTCGTGCAGCGGTTAGTTAAAAAAAATCGATTCGCAAGTAAAAATATTACCTACTCTGCAAATTTGTACAAAGTGACAAATCGCACATGGCTATAAGATGCCGACTGTTATTTTACAGCCAATGCAGTGGTTTGTCACAAGATGGCCCGCAGTTCAATATGTGGCCATGTTATCTAAGGTTGGAGCTGAGCTTGGGGGGGGGTGGTGGTTTGGTAGCGGGAACAGGTTCCGCAAGCCCCGCCACAACTTGGAGCCTAGCATCATCTGTACGCCAAGCTTCACGGAATCGCGATAACATAACATCGACCACCTCAAGCTTCTTCGCCCAGAGCCTCCCCCTCCGCAATGAAACGGTGACAGCATCGGCGCTGGCTCTGCAATCAATCATGGTTGTTCAGCAGCACATCCTCAATTGGCTGTACAGCGTCCTCACAAGTGTAATTGTCTCTTAAACCTGCTCCCTTTCCGCGTGCGCACTGAAGCTGTCTCGTGATGAGTGCTGACGCCTCCTCGCCTTGCAGGAGTATCACGATGTGAACCGCACATACAACGACGTCGCCCAGGCCCTGTCGCAATATCCATCCTTGTCGCCCCGGACAGATGTTCACAGTATGCTCTTCTCCAGCTGTCTCGCACCTTGAACCATCGCGAATGTTAACCCTGAGACCTCGAACAGCCTTCCCTAATGGCTCCTCTGCCCTCCTCCTTCACCTCTCGGGGACGATCCCAGTCCTTTTCAGGGGCACCACCTACAGGTTTCCGATCTCGATGTGGATACCTCACGCATACCCGAGAGAAGCACCGCTGGTATACGTAACTCCGACAGACACAATGGTGGTCCGACCTGGGCAGCATGTGGATCCTCAAGGACAGGTGTATCACCCATATCTTGTCGGCTGGGCCGAGTACTGGGATGTATGTTGCCCTGACTCTACGAGTATTCGGTTGCCGGTGATGCTTGAGCTGACCGTTGGTGATTCACAGAAATCGAGTATTCTCGACTTCCTAGCCATTCTGCGCGATATCTTCGCTAAAGAGCCTCCTGTGGTCGCAAGACAACAGGCTCAACGTCCAGCGCCACCTCCCCAACAGCAAGGTGGCCCTGCTCCTCCTCCTGTGCCCCCTCTACCACAAGAACTCTCAGCGCGACCTGCTAGCCAATCTCAGTCTCCGGCCCTCGATCAAGGCAGGCCTCCGCCTCCTCCTCCCAAGCCACACGAACAACCTCCACGGCCGACAGAGCTTCCTTCGCGACAAAAAGATGGTGCTCCTCCGCTGCCACCTCTACCTCCAGGTGTACGAAGTCCGTCAAATCCATACGATCCCAGGACAGCACAGGCCGCTTCCCCTTTAAATCATCGCCAATCACGATATGACTCTGCGCCGCCTCTACCACCACAAAACGCCTCACAACAACCAGGTTACCAGCAAGCCGGGCCTGGTCCTTCAGTCGCTCATCCACCTCACCAGGGCCCTCCCGGACCCCCTGCATACCAAGGTAATCCGCCTGAACAGCGTTTCTCCCCGCCAGATCCTCGGCGTATGTCAACATTTCCTCCTCAGCATCAGTACCCAGGTCCCCCACAGCAGCAGCAATGGCAGCAACAACCTCCGCCAGTACAAGCGCAGTCCCAACCTAAACTTCCACCACCTCCCGACTTGATGGACGAGCCTCTCACATTAGCTATTCCCTCCTCGAGTGTATCCGCGCCGCCTATACCACCGAATCCCGAGAAAGACGCATTGTTGCACCAGCTTGCTCAGACTCTGTACGCTATGCGCCAACATACTCACGCCCAGAACAGCTCTTCCCTTGGTGGACTGCAGGCTCAGCGGACAGCGATGCTCAACGCCCTCTCAGCCATGCAATCTGAGATTGGCGCGCTCACGCAGCTTTCAGCATTACTCAACTCGAACACGCAGATTCTAAGAGACACCATGCGACGCGCCGATGGGGCCATCGAGTCGTCTGCCTCGCACCCGGCGCCAAACATTGACGAGCTTCTGGTCGCTCCAACGGTCGTGAGCAATCAGCTCTATGATCTGGTGGCGGAAGAACGGGCACTTGCAGACACGATATTTGTACTCGGGCGAGCCGTTGAGCGCGGCCGTGTCAGCCCCGCTGTATTCGCCAAAACAACGCGAAGTCTAGCACGCGAATGGTACTTAAAGAAGGCATTGGTGAAGAAGATTGGGCGGGGCATGGGATTGACTGCATGATGCGACGATGTGAGATTAGAATTGGATGCATAGAGCCAGCTGGAATGACACAACGGGCACTTAAAGCGACCTCACACACATAATTTGGATCATTGTCTTTGTTGAATAAGACGGCTGGCAAATGTTCAGATATTCTCCTGAGAGAACAAACTTCATGTGAGAATTAAATCCGGCTATTTATAAGGTAATGACTGAAAGCAAAGGTACTAGACTCAGGCTATCAACAATCCAACCATGTCATAGAACGCCCCCTTCGATCGAAAAAAAAAAGAAGTTCCTGAACTCGTTGAAGAGACCGCCCGTCAATTCATGGTCTGGAGGCCTGAAGACTTCTGAAGTGAGAAGACAAATGAAACTTGCCAGCCTTTATTATGATATCCGTGTCCTAGACTGATACCATTCATCGTGGGCACTACAGTCTCTCCTCACGATGCTCAATTTCTCGATCGACCCTCACCCCTCTCTCGAGATCATCAATCTGTGACAGCTCTGCGCCAATGGGATCGAACTTCTCGCTCGAGCGTCCACCGGAGATACGAGAGGTGATGCCCGGGACATGGACGACGCTCTTAGCGGGGCTGCTCCCGTACGACTCGCTGTTCGACCAGCGCTTGAGGAAGGGCTGCTTGCTTGTCGAGTCGGAGACGCGGCTGGGCACATCTACTGGGGCAGAGGCGAATGCCGATGGCGTTGAGATGCGCTGCGCGATGAGGGTGCCCAGTGGCAGGAGCACAATTACTGCCGTGTACACCACCGAACCTGCCTCGAAGAAATCGTAGGTGAAGAAGGCCAAGCCAGCAAATATAACTAAAAGGCATTAGCCGAATGATTCTACCCTCAGTAGGCATCGTGAGAAGGACAAACCTGGAATGACCATTAACACGCCATTGGTGATGACCAGCACCTCCATCGCCGATAGACCTTTTGCCGTAGGGAGGATGCTTCTATTGACCCACATATGGATGATGAGCCGTACATTGAACAAGAAACAGAACCAGCTGATGGTAGCAGTCTCCAACGCAAGCCCGGCTTGGCGGACCCAAAGCAATGGGAAGATGTCGAAGATCTCTGTGATCAGACGAATCTGGAAGACGAAGCCGGCAATTCGGAATCCCATGGCGACGGTAATCAAGGCAATAGACACACCCATAGTGGCCCATTTCACAGACGGTCTCCACAGCTTCATCATGCTCCATGCCTGGGTGATGAGGGCTGCGTATATGAGTACGATCTGCGGGATGGCGAACGCCGTGGCTGCGATGCTGATGCGGGTGTCGTTGTGGTTGACGAACTCGTAGTCGTCAGACCAGTAGGCGTAGAACTGGAGGAAACTGGACGACCAGAACAAGGATAGAAGCACGTTGCGAATGATACCAACGATCAGGGCCGCGATGTTGATGGAAGTCGTGACACGTGCGAATCGATTCTTGGGAGTCATGGTGAGAACGACAAGGAGCATTACGAAGCAAGCTCCGATCTGAGAGCCGTAGTTTATTGTGTTGGCAGCGTTCCCCCTGGTGAGTTCATCTATTTGAGCCATTGGGACGTCAATTGGGTTGCCGTCTGGTCCCATGAATGTAACATTCTGGTAGAGGAGACTGCGGTCCGCCATTGTGTTTCCCTGCTGCTGTCAGTGATACCTTCAAGCACGTAGAGTGTGACACTTTAGAGAAACGAGGAAGAGTCTTGACACTTACTGTCGTCAAACGTTCCAGTTTGGTTCTGGGTCTCTTTTGGTGACCTTCAGGCGCAATTTCGGAAGTGTAGAGGCTTCCCAAAGATACTGATGCTCCAAAAACAGTCGGATGCAAGTAGACTCTGTAGGATGAGACTTGTACTTGAGGAAAGGCGTCAAAGACTCCTTATCAAGGTCCGGTATGCCGAGAGCGTCCGGTTGAGGTTTCTGACTTGTATCTTTCGCAATCAAAGCAGATGGCACTGTGGTACTAGTCCGTATTTCTGTCTGAGCGACTTGGCGAGGATGAGATCGGAAATCTGAGACCGCCTCTTCCAGTGGTTGCAAGGAGAAGTAACCGTGTTCTCGCCATTAGAAGTGCCAAGTGTGGAAGCAGGGCCAAAAGGGGGCCGCCGAGATCTCTTCATATTGTCAATGAAAGAAGATAACAGTGGCGAGGAATAATACGACCAATTTCACAATGCTAAAACTTTCTGTGTGGAGGTTGCTGAAGAATGGTGTTGGTCTGTTAGCGCCGTCAATATGCTCGTGCGCTTAGTATTGTTCTTCCCATTCCACTAAGCTTAGTATTGTTGTTGCCTTTGTGGCTACGAGCTACCGAAACTCTATCCCCTAACGACGGCGAAAGCCGCCCCAAATTGGCGCCTACAGTTGACATGTACTTCTGATAGCTAAGTTTTCCGGAAAATGATATTAAGTGTGTTCGATCGACTGATTTCTGTGGTCGGCTGCATTGCATAGAGAATATATCCGCTCGAGGGTGGTAGTTGGTGGGCAATGTCCACAGTGTCAGGGACGCATTGCAGTACATTGGCTTCTGAGGAAGCCTGTCTCTCTCTTTTCTCTGTAGTTGCATAATTGCCATTCCCTACATGTGCAGTATGAAAAAGTACCATGGGTGATGCTCATCAAATAATAATGAGGTCCTGATTCATTTTCAACCTAGACTCTATTACTACATCTATTCAAGGCCCTGCTTTTCCTTCTTGAGTCTTGCGAAGCCCTCCGCCAACTCATCTGGATCATCTGCGCCTTGGACCTGGTATTTGCCCTCGATGACAATATTAGGGACCGCGTGAATGAATTTCCCGTATGCTCTCTGTACTTCTTTGTCCACCTCGTCGCCTCCTTTCCCTTCCTCTAAATACGAGCTAACCTCATCCCTGTCGAGGCCGCCTTTCACGCCAGCTTCAGTAAGCATATTCTGGGATGTCAGGTCCCCACCATTCTCAAAGTAGCTCTTGAAAATCTCCTCAACGACCTTGTTTTGGATTTCAGGGCCCTTCTGGCCAGCAAGATAGATGACACGGTGTGAGTCTCTTGTGCTACCCCTTTTGCCCCGAAATGTGTAGTCAATACCATCGAGCTTGCCAAGCTTTTGCAGCTGTGCACGCATTGTCTCCGCGCGGGCCTCCCCAAATTTCTCATTCATTCTCTCATACGTGCTCACTCCAACCTTGGGGGCGTCTGGCTCAAGATAGAATGGATGCCAACTGATTGTGAAAGTGTCACCTTGGGCCCCGGGATACGTTTTCTTGTAGATTTCGATGGCTTGGCCGAGCCGTTTCTGACCCAGGTAGCACCAGGGGCAGATGGTGTCCGAGACGATTTGAACATCGAAGTTTGTCATCCTCCTTTTCAAGCCGTGCAAAAGTGTTACCATACGTGCTGTTTATGGTTACGTTCTGACCAGCCGTATCTTTGGATCGATGATGGGCTTTATATAAGAGGTGCTCCGGTGCCATCGCCGAAATTTCGGGAGGTTCGCCGGCGGATCTTGGATTATTCAGCACTTTAGTCCCGTCCTCGGCCCCGCGCTTCGCGGCTTCTTGCCCAACAGAGTGCTACGTTGCTGAATGAGCAGGGTTCTAGAATCTCCTTGTGTCTTCAAGGATGCCATTGCATATAAATGAAGCAACAGTTCAATGAGGCAGCCTCAGTCATCATCTCTTGTATCGTCTGGACTTTTCTTCTCGCGATCTCTCTGATTCGATATGATAGAATTGATCAACACTACCACTACGATATTATATTGATATACCCGTAAACTCGTATTACCAACTCTTATTCCATTAACCAGAGCATACATACAGTTCAATCTAACCGAAGTACTTCATAGGATTGACCTACACACGCATTCGGTACACATCTTGTACAAATCATTGCAGACGGATAACATAATGGAGTCAGTTGGAAGAACGCGAAGAATGGTGACTGGCTGCGAGAAGACGGCGAATTCGGAGTCATAGGTAATTGGATTGATCATTTGACAGGTTAGAGTGGGGTCTTTGAGCCAATCATTCAACTGCTGGAGAGTATGGCAAGGCTGCATAGTTAGGCGGACATTTTCGGCAGCTGAAGAGCACTCTCTTCTCGTCACTTCGCTTTTTGTGGGAAGAACCCGGTGTAGGTAATATCTCGAGATTTGAAGGCCTTAATTGAGTGTTCCCACTACTCAAAGTAGAGGAGTATAGAGAAGTATCACTTGCTAGACCGGCGCCTTGACAAACGGGACATCCTGTCCGACCTTCACCTTGATGTCAAGCAACAGTTCACGACGCCTAGCTGATACATCGTTGAAGCACCAATCCTCTGGAGGCAGGTATAAACGAAAAACGATCAGTTTCAGGCGTCTCTATGGGTCACTTACGCTGCTCCGAATGCTACTTTGAGCCTACTTACGCAGATGCATCGAGCAAATCTAGAACAACTGGGAGTTGTTGGTATTGTGTATGATTGCCTTTCCCAATAAACTTCTAGGTTTATTTACATCCTTTGCAGCATATTTGCGGTTGGGGCCCTTTGTCGACTGCGATTGATGTATACTGTGTAAACGCACTCTGCGATGGCGACAGCGGATACCAAGGCGAATTCGCAATATATACAGAGCATATCAATACGGGGAAACGCGATGCAGAGCTGGCAGACGAGTGGAACTTCGATTCCAATCCAGAAAATTCTTTTATTGAGGTCCAAGAGGCTCAGTCCGATGCAAGGGCCAAACTCGAAGACGATAGTGATGGTTCAGATATACAGTCCATCACATCGTGGGAAGATTTGTCAAGCTTGACATCACAGACATCACTCACATCTGGATCCTTGAACTCAGACACGACAAATGCTATCAAAGACTTCGTCTCTGTTCTGCTCAAGGATAAAGCCTTGTTACCGCTTCTTACAGATGGAGCACAAAAATTGCCACTGTATAAGTTAGAGAGAAATGTCTCAAGGCTTCTGAGAGAATACGGGAAGGATCTAGCATCCGAGGTCATCACACCCTTGGAAAAAGAAGCTTCACAGCTGGTGAGAGTCAAATCTCGTGTCATTAGTCACATGCTGCTCTCGGCATTCGATCCTCGAATTTCCAGTAAGTTTATGACCTTGAGAGAGCTATCTGGTAAAGATCCTCTACGACAAGAACGAGTCGTGAGATATCTCAAACATCAATTGCACGGCTCAGATTCAACAAAGGTCGCTAAGACACAGGAGCCCGCCGAAGACCAGCTGCTGGTAGATATAGGTCTGAATGGGTCCAGCTCTGATGAAGAAGAAGACGAGAATTGGAGTAGGCTGCGTAACCTGCACCTTGTCACGAACTTCATGGTCACCTCGCACGCGTTTTTGAAATTTCGGAATAATTTGAAGTCATTTATTTATCCTAGCCCAAAGCCAAAGCCAAGGCACATAGCGAACAAACCAAAAGTAGCATCAGTACTACCTTTGAAGTCAAACTTGGAATTCTCTGTGGAAAGGGCTTTGAGGTGTTTCAAGTCGATGCTTCCTCACGGTTTGGCGTTGCCGATAACGGCGCTGCTTCTCAAATTATTCAGACCGCGGGTTCCGCCAAATCATACCAGAATCACTTGGACATGCGTAAGTCTTTGAGAAGGTATTAAAAATTTTGAAAACTAACGGTGAAGTTTTATAGGGTTGTGGCAAGGCAATGTATGCGGATATACAAGATCATGATAAAGCCAAAAGCCTAGAGGCAGATCTGAGGCGATGCGCAGCTCAAGCCGACGCTTTATCCCGAAGGAGGAATGAATCGGGCTCAGAAACCAGCAGCTCTCCCAGCTCAAAACAGCCTTCGGTAAATAGTTCAAACTCCAGTGCCGGCAATCTCACGGAAGCGTCGAGTATCGTAACATCTTCAACGTTTGCGCCAGCAGTCGCGGCGTGGACGGCATGGAAAGGCGACGGTTCAAGCACAGATGAGCGTGAAGTTCGCTATGAAACTCGCCATCTACTGCTCTGTGTCAATGGAAGCCGTACACTTGAGCTTGAACAGCTCATATTAGCTCCGGGATCCGACGACCAGGTCCTTTTCCAAGACATTCGACGCACTTATAAGGCAATGAGATGCAAGCGAAGATTGCATCCTCAAATTCCTGAGAGCATCCTGCAGTTTGTGCGCTCAGTTGATGCTTTGTGGGAGACTATTGAAAGATCACTATTGGGGTTCCTCAACTTGTGTCGACTAGAGTGGTGTTTCTGGTGGATTGGCGATAGCCTCTTTTACATTCCAAAAGACGGCAATTTCGTGCGTGTGAGTACCTAAATGACCTCATGAGTGATACGATTCCGTTGATGTTAACCGTTCCTAGCTTGAACTTGTTCCTGTCAGGACAGAACCCATCCCTGTTCTTCTGGGCGACCCCCGCTTACCTCCGCAAAAAGAGGTCATAAAACGAAACTATCATTATCATCCATGTCCTTCGGACTTGATTGAGCCAGCATTGCGCGTTCCCTATTTGCACGAGCTTTTCGAGCCTGGTATCCATCTGAACGACTTTTGGGTGAACAGAATACCTAAGAAGCTCAATACCAAGCTCGAATATACAGGATCAGCCCAGCCAGCAATTGGCTGGGGAATACACATCGTCGAAGGTCTGAACTGGCATGCACTCTTAGCAGTTGTGGGATTTACGATTATTCTTACACTACTAACTGCAGTCATTTACTCGGTGGTATGTCACGATGTGTCAGCAGGGTTCGGGATTTCTTCATATTTGATAGCTGTTCTGGCAATTGTCGTTGCAATACTTCTGGCTACCCTATTCCAGTCTAATTAAGAGGTATGAGACTACAAGGAACATCATTTTCTGGTTGGACCGTCCCAGTACTTTGGATACACGGCCTAATTTTGCTAACACTCATCGCAGCAACCTAGTTGTTCCAGCTACTTTGGTTCACGAACACTCTCACGCCGTCCAAGGCAGGCGGTGTGAAGTATTGGGATTGTAGCCTTCAAATCGTCTCAGATTGACTAACCGGTCCATCGACGATCCCATCACGTGTGGGAAAACCACAATGGGTTGGGTAAGAAATCATCAAATGGATGCTTCTCGCATCATAGTCATAGATCCGTTGACACAGACTGTCGTAGAGGATCGACCTTGGATTGGATGCTTTAGGACTTTCCGCTTTCATTCGGATTGAATGAGGACGGCGATAGTTGGGCTGCGAAGGGCCACAACTGCAGTGACGAATCCATAGTGTTATCTTCAAACCGAGTCTGTGTCTCCTGCTTTAACTTTCTCCGTGACAGTTGCAATCCGGCGTGAGATCCCTCGACGACGTTCTATAACAGCCAACAGGAGGCAGATACAGAGGATAATGAAGACTCCAACCCCGAGTATTATGCCGATAATGGTCGACTTTGGAAGTTTCGAGTGTAACATTGTTTTCAGAGTGCTGAATGGCTTTTTTTTTATTAAAAAAAAAGGAGATCTGATTGACGTGTATGCCCAAATTCCTTCTCGTTATGTTTGTGGTAAATTCGCGTAATACTCGAGGTATGGATGTAATTATTGTCGTAGTCTTTTTGAAACTCGTCGAAAATTTGGATCGTGGAACGACAACTAATAGAAAGAAATTCTTTCTCTAGAAATGAAGAACCGAGAAGAATTGTCTCTGAAAATTTTGATTTATGAACCTCTTTTTTGGTTTGACTAACCTAAAATTCCAATGTCCAAACGAGCCGCGATTTGGAGCAAGTGGATGGAAACACAATGGACCACTTGACTGGGGTCAAACGGGTCTCGACCAGCCTTTTGTACAAAAGTCCCCTGTATTGGCGAAAGCCGTTTATAAGGCCAGCCAATGCGGAAGCTGACCGGGCATGTATGTACAGCTGTCAGCCAGCCAAAACTGCACATTGGTCTGCTGAAAGGACGTTTTTGGGGAGATAAGCTTTGCTGCGGCTCAGCTGAACTCATCTGCAGCCACTCACTTTGAGACACATTTACTCGTCAATCTCGTGGCAGCGCGAAGTTCTACCGTCTAGAGTATCTTGCGTTTCTACGGACTAGTTGACTGATGGTTCGTTGAGACCGGATGGGGGAAGATGACCCGATAGTCTCCTATTTGGGCCTAGATAGAAATCTGTCTCATGTCCACAGTTAGAGCGTACGAAGTATTGATTGCCTACCATAATCTTACGCCCCCGATTTGGATTCCACGATCGAGTAAACTCGGAAGCTCCGTCATTCAGGTTTATTTTGACACTTGGACAACGCTACTCAGAATCTCAAAGTTCGGAGTCCGCGCGATCCTTGAAACCGCCTTGAAGCCTCTTTTATTTCCTTAGCCTATTTCCCGTCTTTGCAAATGAGGCTTAACGTCAGAAATGACATAATCAAGGCAGCAGATCTGAGTCAATTCATTGTAATCCGGTGTCCTCGGACTACCGATGCTAATAGGCTGTGTCATGTAATAGCCTTTGCTGAAATGGGTGAGATGTGTCGAATACCGCAAGCTAACGTAATAGTTCCAGAAATTAACCTAGTCTAGGGATGACACTATGTACAACAATTCAGTCTCGGTCTTTGAGTCAACATCTCATAGGCATTGAGCGTAGTACGGGTTCGATGTCGAGCAAACGGTGCCCGCTACACAGGCCGTTGGGCCACTCCATCCAGAACCACCACACTGGCCGTACTTAGTCTGCGATCCTCCGCCTCCGACAGCTGTTGTGGTAGAAGCCACCGCACTAGTACGGCTCGAAGAAGTCGATGATGGCGAGGTTCCAGCGCTAGAAGGGGCGCCGCCGCCTCCCGGTGTGGAAACAGTCGAGGAACTCGGAGAAGAACCTTGTGTGCATTGCCAATAATCTATCTTGCGTTTAGTCAAAGGAATGGCTTTGGAGACGGACAAGTGTGGAAACATCAACGTACAATCTGTCACATATTTGCAATAGTAACCAGCAGGACACTATGTTGCTGTTAGTGATGGTCAGACTTCTTGGGGATTATAACATACCGCCTTTGCCACGTCCCAAGTCAAGCTGTCACATTGGTCATATGCAGCAGCGGTCTCGGTTGGAGTTGGTACCTTCCATGTTGTGACGGAAGGCATGGTCCACGCAGGGAAGCTTGAGTCGTCGTTTCGCTTACATCCCGTTCGCGCTGTCAGCTCCGTAGGACATTGAACTTGGGTAAACTGGTGGTTCGGATTATCGGCATTCTGGAACCAGTCAAACCGCCAGTAGCAGCCAGCCTGAAGCTTCGCCGGCATCGATGCGCACTCAGATCGATTCGATATACCTCCATAGCGGGCTCCACCAATACCGCCAAATTCCGATGTGCAGCCGTCAAAGATGCCGAGGCCACCACCTGGGATTTGCAAGTCGAACTGGTTGTCGCCAAGATCACCGCCGGTATTGACGGACTGAATAAGCATGATCTTGCCCTTGGCCTTGCCGGAGGTGAATGTGACACTTCAAGAATCGTCAGAAAAGATTCAATATCAAGATGAGCACATCTTACGCATAGCATGCACAACACCAACTGGCCTCGCTCCCACCGCTGATCGCTGTGGCCGCAAAGCCATAGGAAACGAGGTCATTGACAGCCCACGGAGACTGATTGGTACAAGTATAGGCAGTTCCGCCATCACAACCCGACTTAGTGTTGTAGTCAGAGAGCGGGTTGTCGCTCGCATCACAGGTATAAACAGGATGCGTCCATGCTGCCTTATCGGGCCACGCACAAGATGGCTTGCAGCAATCCCAATATCTGGTTGACTTCCCAGTGCCTGAAGCTGCCAAGGCACCCAGAGACAAGAGAGCTCCTATTCCAAGGCAGGGAATAAATGTTGCACGCATGTTGACTATTCAAAGCTTGATGAAGAGGGCGCCGGTGAGCAGAGCCACTAGCCCTGTGCTCCGTGAAAATCCCCTTCCTATATACATCGATGGCTATGAGACGAGAAACTAAACTAACTCAGACGCTTGTCACGAGTTCCGGAAATTGGGACGTGAGTGTATTCAGAAGAGGCAATAACGGTGGTAGACCTCCGGGTGCCCACCAATCAGCCCACCTGGAGGGGCGGCTAGCCTGGGGCGCTCCAGTGGCAGAGGCCCTATGGGCCGTTGTGCAGGCAGAGAAACCCGACTGTAAGGGACGATGTCACCCCTGGAGATCCGGAACCTGGGCCGAAAGAGAAGAAAAACCTGGGATATGGGATAGAGCGAGACTGCGACTGCATTGAGCTGCACCGAAGAGATTGAGGGCAAACATATGATGACGGCGTCGAGCTCCCGGCTAGACGAAAGTAGGGTTTCGCCTCCTTCTCCCAAGCGAGATAGAATCGAACGTGAGAGTGAGTACATTGCAAGTCTGCGAATATACCAGGAGTAGCATGAGATGGTCAGGCTGTTGGAGTATCAACTAGGTGATTTGAAGGTCACTGATCAAGCAGTCGCGTTGGTAATTGAGGACTAATCTCAACTTGTCAAGAAAAGCTTTGTGCTAGAAATGTTTGGAGGATCTGGCACGCAATAATAATCAACAGGAGTTGGATCGATGAACAGAAGATACCGGGTTGGGCGAGTAAAGTAAAGGCGTGATGATTACAGATGACTGACTACACGGTCGTGAAAGATAAGAAATGAGACGCCGATTTGCCATCGAAGACAATCAGGTATTCTTTGTTCTCGATCGCTGTCAGAAGATCCAGTTAGGTAGCAGACTACGGGCATCTTCAAAATGGTCCGTGCGCCGAGTTGTTAGGCAGCAAACGGCCAGAATAAAGACTTCTCTGGCAGAAGCCCGTGACTTCCTGTAGCCGCTAAGATGATATAGGCTTAGCGCAGTCCAGCTCGCGGACCTGCTTTCAGCCTCCTAGGAGGGCCTGCAAGGACAAAAAACTCCAAGCGCTTTCTGAAGGAGGCGTGGAGCACGATCCCCAAACAATCACACTCCCTTTCGTTCCCCATCCACCTGCCGCTTCGCCTCGAAGTGCGCATCCTCCCTTCTGGCTGCGCTTCACTGTTTTCGAGATCGCACTGCTTCTGTGCGTCATTCTTGGATGCGCTGAGAACTTGCGCGCCTGGAGAGTGGATGCGGTCGCGCAGCTCCTGTGTGGCAATTTCTAATCACCGTCAACTCACTTCTCCCACGACCTTTCGCCGACGCTTCCCAACAAGCGACACCTCTGCTCATAACGACGAGCACCTCTATCGCTTCGATACTTCTGACCGTCGATTGCGTTTGTAGGAGGATATACTGAGCGCGACAAGATGGCGGACTACGAGGAGGGCTATGAGTACGAGGAGGATTACGGCGAAGCTGACGAGGGCATCACGCCCGAGGATTGCTGGACTGTCATCTCCTCGTATTTCGAAAAGAAGGGCCTTGTGTCCCAGCAGATTGACTCTTTCGACGAGTTCACCCAGACCGGAATTCAGAGCTTGATTGATGAGTATTCGCATCTCACCCTCGACCAGAATAATCCACCCTCTGCCGATGACCGTGCGATCCAGCTTCGACGTTACGAAATCAAGTTCGGGCACATGCTAGTTACACGCCCGACCATCACAGAGAACGATGGCAGCGTCAAGGCGCTACTGCCGTACGAGTGTCGTGATCGAAACCTAACGTACTCTTGTCCTATATACGTCAAGCTCACCAAGAAGGTCTCCATTGCCGTCGAAGAGGATATTCCCTTGAACGAACTTGACGAAGAGCAACTCGCCGAATATCATGCGACGAACAAGCCCCCCACACGGATCGTGTGGGAGGAGGAGGAGGCAGAGACGGGTGCCGGTCTGAACGATAAGGACAAGTCCAACGAGCAGCTGAGAGACATGGTGTTCATCGGAAAGATCCCCGTGATGGTCAAATCCAAGATTTGTCACCTCAAGGATGAGGATGATGATGGTTTGTTCGTTCTGAACGAGTGTCCGTATGACCAAGGTGGCTACTTTGTCATCAACGGAAGCGAGAAGGTTCTCATTGCTCAGGAGCGCTCCGCCGCCAACATCGTCCAAGTTTTCAAGAAAGCCCAGCCTAGCCCAGACTCATATGTTGCTGAGATCCGCAGCGCTTTAGAGAAGGGTTCCCGGCTGATATCTTCGCTTCAGCTTAAGCTCAAGGCAAAGGGCGAAGCGGCGCGAGGCGGCTACGGTCAGACTATACATGCTACTCTACCCTACATCAAGGCCGATATCCCTATTGGTATCGTTTTTCGTGCTCTGGGTATCGTGTCAGACGAAGATATCCTCAACCATATCTGCTACGACAGAAACGACAGCCAGATGTTGGAGATGCTCCGCCCTTGTGTTGAGGAAGCTTTCTGCATTCAGGACCGCGAGGTGGCGTTGGACTTCATCGGAAAGCGTGGCAATAACACGCACAGCGTTAACCGAAGGGATCGTATTCGATCGGCCAAGGATATCCTCCAGAAGGAGATGCTTCCACACATCTCTCAATCAGAAGGCTGCGAAACTCGCAAGGCCTTCTTCCTCGGCTACATGGTCCACAAACTCCTCCAGTGTGCCCTTGGCCGACGCGAGACGGATGATCGAGACCATTTTGGCAAGAAGCGGTTGGATTTGGCCGGGCCTCTCCTCGCTAAACTTTTCCGCAATATCGTTCGAAAACTTACGCAAGATATGATGGCGTACCTGAAGCGTTGCGTACAGGAGAACAAGATGTTTGACCTGACGTTGGGTATTCGTCCCTCGACTCTTACCGGCGGTCTGAAGTACTCTTTGGCTACCGGAAACTGGGGTGACCAGAAGAAGGCTATGAGCTCGACTGCTGGTGTTTCTCAAGTCTTGAACAGATATACCTTCGCGTCTACCTTGTCACATTTGCGACGGACGAATACGCCTATTGGACGAGACGGCAAACTGGCGAAGCCCCGCCAGCTCCACAATACTCATTGGGGCCTGGTCTGCCCGGCAGAGACGCCAGAAGGTCAGGCCTGCGGTTTGGTGAAGAATCTCTCGTTGATGTGTTACGTCAGTAACGGTACGCCGGCTGATCCAATCATCGAGTTCATGATCGCGCGGAACATGGAAGTCCTGGAAGAATATGATCCTCTCAGACACCCGCACGCGACCAAGATTTTTGTAAACGGAACATGGGTGGGTGTACACTCCGACCCCAAGCATCTTGTCAGCCTGGTCCAGAACCTTCGACGTAAGGGTGTCATTAGTTCTGAGGTCTCGCTCGTCAGAGATATCCGTGACCGTGAGTTCAAGATCTTTTCCGATGCTGGTCGAGTCATGAGACCTCTCTTCGTGGTCGAGCAAGAGGACAACGCGGATACCGGCCTGCCTAAAGGATCTCTGGTACTCACCAAGGAACACATCTCAAGGCTTGAGCAAGATCAAGGTCTCGCCAAAGATGACCCTGCCTTCTTTGGCTGGGACGGTCTTGAACATTCAGGTGTTATCGAATATCTTGATGCAGAAGAAGAGGAAACGGCAATGATTTGCATGAGCCCCGAGGACCTTGAAACCTACCGGCTTCAAAAAGCTGGCTACGATCTTCCAGATGCCGGTCACGAAGATCTCAACGCGCGTGTCAAGACTAAGATCAACCCCACGACTCACATGTATACACACTGCGAGATCCACCCCAGCATGTTGTTGGGAATCTGCGCCAGTATTATTCCCTTCCCCGATCACAATCAGGTAGGTTTTGTTTCCTGATTTCGCTCTATGCTTCATACTAACACCCAACTAGTCGCCGCGTAATACCTACCAGTCTGCCATGGGTAAGCAAGCCATGGGCTTCTTCCTCACCAATTATTCCCGCCGAATGGATACAATGGCGAACATTCTCTACTACCCTCAGAAACCACTGGCCACAACTCGGTCCATGGAGTTCCTTAAGTTCCGTGAGCTGCCAGCCGGACAGAATGCTATTGTGGCCATCGCTTGTTACTCTGGTTACAACCAGGAAGATTCCGTCATTATGAACCAGAGCAGCATCGACCGTGGTCTTTTCCGAAGTCTGTTCTTCCGTTCCTACACCGACTCTGAGAAACGGGTTGGTATCAACCTCGTCGAGTCTTTTGAGAAACCGTATAGAAGCGACACACTTCGGCTGAAACACGGCACTTACGATAAGCTTGATGATGATGGCATTATTGCTCCTGGTGTGAGAGTTTCCGGTGAGGACATCATTATCGGCAAGACGGCGCCAATCAACCCCGACGCACAGGAGTTGGGGCAACGTACGCAGCAACATGTGAAGCGTGACGCATCCACACCTCTGAGGTCTACCGAGAGCGGTATCGTTGACTCTGTGGTGGTTACGACGAACCAAGATGGTCTCCGATACGTCAAGGTCCGAGTGCGCACGACGAAGATTCCACAAATCGGTGATAAATTTGCATCTCGTCACGGTCAGAAGGGTACTATTGGTGTCACTTACCGTACAGAGGATATGCCCTTCACTCGCGAAGGAATCACCCCCGATATCATCATCAACCCCCACGCCATTCCGTCACGTATGACCATCGCCCATCTGATCGAGTGTCTTCTGTCCAAGGTCTCAACCCTGAAAGGCATGGAAGGTGATGCAACTCCGTTCACCGAAGTTACGGTCGACTCTGTGTCCACCCTCCTGAGACAACACGGATATCAGTCACGTGGATTCGAGATCATGTACCATGGTCATACTGGTCGTAAACTGCGAGCCCAGGTTTTCTTCGGTCCTACCTACTATCAGCGTCTGCGACACATGGTGGACGATAAGATTCATGCCCGAGCTCGTGGTCCCGTCCAAATCATGACGCGACAGCCTGTAGAGGGTCGTGCGAGAGATGGTGGTCTCCGTTTCGGAGAGATGGAGCGTGATTGTATGATCGCTCATGGTGCTGCTGCCTTCCTAAAGGAGAGACTGTTTGAGGTGTCGGATGCCTTCCGAGTTCACATTTGCGAGATTTGTGGACTTATGACTCCGATTGCGTAAGTTATGCTAATTCCTTGACTCAACACAGATGCTAACATGACCATAGCAACCTCACGAAACAATCATTCGAATGCCGTCCCTGCAAGAACAAGACAAAGATTGCTCAGGTTCACATTCCGTATGCTGCCAAGCTGCTCTTCCAGGAACTGGCTGCCATGAACATCGCCTCGAGGATGTTCACCGATCGTTCTGGTGTATCCATTCGCTAATATTTGGCGTTTGCGCCTCATACAAATTTCAGTCGAGTAGAAAGAAGACACAGAGTTTATGAAGATGCGGCTGGTAGGGTTCCTGGTTTGGTTTGATTTGCATGGAGGGCGGCGTTTTCCTGCCAGGGCAGCTTGATATATTCCACTTGACTTCTCATCCTGAGACGAGACACTTTCTTATCTGCGTGTACTACCATTGACGATCAAAGGTATAGCGAGACTGGCCAAAAATTTGATCATTAGAGCAACATCAGGGCAGGTCTGCAAGTGTCCGACCCAGCGGGGAAAAGATGAGCAGCTTACCTGCCTGTATGTATCACTAGATATAAAAAATGAATGAAGAATGCAAAATCAGTGGTATTTTGAAGTGAGAATATGTTTTATAGTACATGAGATCTACAAGGAACATTGCACAGGACGAATGCTCCAACCGACACCGGATATTCCAACCAGGCGTCTGCTTTTGTCGCCTGTATATGTGATTTGCACCGTTTGAACGATGGATCCCCCATCAGCAACACGCTGATTCGTAGTTCAAGCCATATCGAGCACCCCATCCAATCGCGCAGATGCTACCTGCCAGCCGTGTTCTTGTCATCCATCTCTGATAAAGTATTCCTCACGCTCTGGGTTTGCTTGTACTCTGCTTCTAGGGCTCGCTGCATATCAAAGTCTAGTTGCCGTTCGCGCTTGAGCCGCTGCTGCTCCATATCTCGGATAACGCCTGCATGCATTGCCTGGGAAGACGCTTGTCAGCCAAATTGCGAAGGTAATGAATGGGTGGTTAGGCTTGGGCTTGGAGTAAGAGTACCTCTTTCTCAGTCTTCTGTTGGAAGTGCACCATTGCGATGGTGCCCACGGCAAGCAGCGAAGTTGCCGTGAGGGTGAGCTTTGCGCCTCGGGAGGCCATCGTGCCAGCGAGATGATCCGAGGAGCGAGCAGTTGTCGCTCTAGTCCTAGGGAACGTTGAAGTGATTGAGATGGTGTTTGTATCAGCGTCCTATTGTCATTCTAGGATAATGAAATGCTCGTGGGTCAACAATTGGCAAGAAACTGCAGATGCACCTCGTCGAAGCTGGTATCAGTGCATAATCGCATCGCGGACATTTCGCTGTACTACCGGCAGGCAGGGATACTGCCGGCTCTTACCGCCCGCCGGGCAGCTGCAAGATGATGGAGCTTGGCTTCCTAGCATCTGGACTGCTTGGAGCTTGTCCCGCTTGCTCGTGCGCTAGTAATAGCCTCAACCACCTCCAATCCCATTACCTCACGAAGCACCGAACCTCGAGGCCGCCCACCGCGAAGAATCAATTGAGACTCCCTCTCCCTCTACCACATTTTTCGTCGCCAGCTCAAGACCTTGCGTCTAGTGCAACAAGATGGCAAGTCGTCATGCTTCGGGTTGATGACGAGGATGGGCAAGCTAACCTTGACAATAGTCGGCCCAGAACTCGGCGGGCATCCAGACCCTTCTTGACGTGAGCCACTCCCTGCTAATGACAAGCAACATCCTGAGAGGTGAGCAACGCTGACGAGAGTATATATAGGCCGAAAGGGAAGCTTCAAAGATCGTCCAGAAAGGTACCGCACCCTCACTCTGTCAAATTGCCATGCTAGACACGCAAGCTAACATCACGACCCGCCAGCTCGAGAATGTACGCTCACAGCCGCCGATAGTATCCTCGAAGTCAGTCTTCTAACTTGATCGCAGACCGGACGAAGAAGGTCAGAGAGGCTCGAGATGAGGCTAAGAAGGAGATAGAGGCGTACAAGTCACAGAAGGAAGATGAATTCAAGAAGTTCGAGTCCGAGGTACGGGCTACCACCGTCCAGGGCCACCCTGCCGACTATTCTCTCACAAGACAGCTATACTAACAGGCCATAGCACACTGCAGGAAATAAGGAAGCCGAGGAGGAGGCAAACAAGGAGGCAGACGCCAAGATCAAGGAGATCCAGACCGCAGGAAAGAAGAACCAAGACAAGGTTATCAAGGATCTGTTGAGCGCCGTTTTCGATGTCAAGCCTGTTCCTCCCGCAGAGGCATAAGGAACTAAAGTTTGTGCGGTCGATGCTAGAGGACGACTATTGTGAATGTGGTATTCGGCAAGGATGAGCTCATTACTGATGGTGAGGAGGCAGGTCAGGACTGACCAGCCGGCATATTTGTACAGCATAGAACGCGAGTGTACTGCAGAGGCTTTTGAAAAGACTAGGCTAGCGGCCCTTTTCGATTGATTATACACGCTATTGACTACACATTTGATTACAAGAAGTCGACCAGAGTCGTCAGGATTTCTCGAGTTTCCTTGCCATCTTCCGTATCCGGGTCTATGCCTTCAAGTTGCTCCTGTATAGTAGTCTTGATGACCCCAAATGTCTCATCACGATCTGCTAGTAATGACTTGATCTTCTTCCCTGCCCCGTCATCCTCTGCAATCAGCCACGCCAGAATCACATCGATGGTCTGTAGGGTGAAGAGCCCAGCATCTAACCTCCTTGAAAACCACTCGTCCGCCATCACTTCCTTGTCTTCACCGTCCATCCCCTTCTGCTCTTTCACGATTTGCTCTTCGACAAAGGAGAGGCGTGCTACGTAGTCTCTCCGTAGTTTGACAAGCTTTTCGGTCTTCTCGTAATCCTTCTCAACGAACTTAGCAAGCGTTCGTATCCGTTCAGGCGAGTTTCCGGGCAAAAGCCTCAGCATCCAGGAGAATATTCCAACTAGATGCTCCGTCGATTGGTTGTCCTTGGTCTTCATAAACATCGTGAAAGTTGTCTTCAGACCACCGGCGTCCACCAGCTTTTGGCACATGTCTGCGCCATTCCGACCTCCCACAGCATGATCTAGAAGTCTGAGTGCAGCTGCCTTGCTTAGTTTGCCCTCCTTGAGCATGATTAGACACAATTCAACTCCCTCTGCATCAATAAATTTCGCTTTTCCTTCGGGTTCGTCAACAATACAGGTAAGAGCTTCGAAGAGATTCTCCATGTACTCTTCCTCCTCGCCACCTTTCTCAGGGTCCCGTTTTCTGTAAGCTGCCACGAGCTGAAGCATGATATCCGCGGCATCCAAGCTCGCGAGTTTCTGCCGATTTGCCGCTGATGATTGTACTAGAATTGCGAGTATCTCCGCAGCATACTGCTTGTTCTGGGTGACAGGCTTCTCGTCCTTCTGGATCCTCTGAAGCAGCCATTCCAGTAGTTTCTCATCCTTCCCGATCTGTTCTGATGTCGTAGACCGCGAGCACAGATTTTCAATCACACTGAGCGCATAGTAGACTCCACTCCTGTCCGCTTCATCTTCTGCCTCGTTCAGCCTCGAGAAATTCGAAACCAACAGCCCGATCAAATCTGCTTCCAACAGAGCCTCCACCAAGGCATCCCATTGCTCATCCGTCGCTGCGACATCCTCGTCCGTAAGCTCGCCAATGATTTCTACTGCCGAGATGGCAATATCTGTGTTCTCGTGTGCCAATAGTCCAACCAGACTTCCTACCGTGCCCAGCTCTACTAGGACAGGATACAGTTCTGGATGTTCGCCCAGGATGGACAATCCCTTGATGTCGGCATCGAGGTCGGCTTCGCTCTGTATGAACTTTTGCGGTTCGCTCTCGTATTTTGCCCGTAGCTGTGCGTTCTTGTTGATGTGCTGCTCAAACTTGAGAGCGGTCTTTCTCAGCCACGGCCCGTCGATCTTCTCCGGCGCAGTGTCCTCTTCATCCTGGCCGTCAACATAGTCGAGAATCTCCGACTCCTGCGCCGTTATGCCTCCGCCAAAGAACCGCCCCTCCTCATCATCTGGTGGTAACTCCGGACCATAGTCGCCATCTTCGCCGTCTTCAGGAGGTGGGGCTGGCCCAGCTTCGATATCATCATCCTCGGGCCCGTCGTCCTCCACGTGTGCATGTCGGCTTGACCCGTTTGTGGAGAGTTTTGCAGACTTATATATTTCGCCTGAAGTGATTACAGCACATTAGCGCAAGTATCGGGACTGGTGAGGGATTCCGGGTCGGTGGTGAGCACTTACTAGGATCGCGTACCGGGTCTAGCTTGCGCTTGCTTGGGAGACCAGAGCTCTAGGGAGGACAATTAGCAGGCAAGCAAGATTCCAATGTTTACTGGGACACACCTTGAAGAGCTCATCGACGCTTGTCATGTTGGTGACTTGTAGTCTCGGAAATATGAGGGTGAGGCTGTATCAAGCGGTCGGAATTCGATGCACCATTTCACTCGAGCTTGATGCAAACGATGCCATTCGCGACTGGAATTTTGGATGAATACAGTGAAGCAGACAGTGCCTTGGAGCGCAGTCACTGTCCGTCCAGTAGCTGGGTCTCGCCCGCCCCACAGTGCTGTGCGTCACACTCAGCCCCCCAAATCAGCCCTGCGAAACAACCTCGTCCTAGAATGCCAGCCCTCAATAGATTGAACCTATTCTTCGCGCTCTCATTTGCACTTCCCTTTCTCCTTTGGATATCGTCCTGTTTGCTTCCCTGGAATTTCTCTAGCATCTCGCTCTCTACCGTGTTTGACTTATCCCGCCACCGTTCGCAAGCAACAATGCCTCCCACAGCTATTCTCATCCGGCATGCCCAGGCATTGCACAACGTAGCTCATAAGTAGCTTCAATTCTTATATCTATGACTCACTCTAATACATTGTACAAGATTATAGTATACATGACCCTGAACTGTCTGAGCTTGGCCGTAACCAATGTAAAGAACTCCGGCAAAACCTGCAGGAGAAGCTCCCCAAAGAGCTCGACGTTGGTCTCATTCTCGTGAGTCCGATGAGACGCACGATAGAGACAGCCTTACTGTCGCTTGACTGGATGATTGAGAAGGGCGTTCCAATTCAGGCTCACGCTGGCTGGCAAGGTACTACCTTCTCTATACTTCAACTAACGAAACTTGCATCCATTCTCGGAAGTGTTCACTTAGATTGTCTTTTTGGGCGACTCTCAGTTGTTTTTCGTGATACAGTTGCTGATATGTTGTGTCAGAAAACTCGGCCAAGCCTTGCGATACTGGATCCTCCATTGATGCCCTGAAGGCAGAGTTTCCTCAAGTGGATTTCTCACAAGTGGATCCCGTTTACCCGGACAAGACATCGCCTGCAGGGAGCAAGTATGCGTATAACAAGGAAGCCCTACTTGCCCGTGGTCAATCCAGTCTGGGGGAACTCTACAGTCGCCCAGAGAAAGCAATCATTGTTGTATCGCACTCCGGCTTTCTCCGCCAATCCGTGACAGGGAACTGGTACTTCAACGCCGACTATCGAATCTATGACTTCGTAGAGAGAAGTTCTTCAGACGAACCCTTCAAGTTGAAGCAATGGGAGCTGACTGAGAAGGGCCGTGGCGGCATGGGTTGGAGCTGGGACGAAACGGTGGAAGTTGGTGACGGGTTGCACAAGGAAGCATCGCCGCCGGTCGATGAGACGCCCAAATAGATGTCAATCTCTTCTTCTCCAAACATTGCTAAGAGATCCTAGATAGAGGCTATAGATCATTCTACTCATACAGCGTTATGGATGTTTTGTAGACGGCACATTAGTTCTCTCCGAGAAAGGGTCCTTTGATAATCGACAATACCGCTCCAAGTACCGCACCTCAGTTCCCTTGCTTTCTAGGCATATCCAATAGCAACAGAGAGTCGTGTGCCAAGACGAATATTTCTGAAGTATGTGGTTAGAAATTCCGCGTTAACATCGCCAACACCCAGAACAATTAATTCTTGATTTAATGCTTAATATAGGCCAATGAAATGGCCAGCAGTGCACCACCGTGTTTACACAGTCGGCCTATTTATTTTTCTTTTGCAAGAGCGTCATGAACAGTGCGTGTCGCAAGACCTTGATATCAACAGTCAGAATCTAGTCAATTAGATACTACTTCTGACTGAGCTAGGTAGTTGAGCAGTCACCCTCTCCATCCTCTGGTTTGATAACAAACACGTCTCCGAAGTAGTTTTGAACTCATACTCAGCTTCTGGCGATAGGAGGCTCTCCCCACACAATATCACTTTCAAGAAAAGAACATCTAGTTTCAATAACCGGCGCTTTCGCATGGAGATTAGCATCTTAGAAGCCACTTGTATCGAGGTTATTGGACCTAACCCCATGATTGGACGGCATCGAATCGTAAACAACACAACAGACCAAGCGTAGCCACCCATGTATTATTTCTCAAAGGACCCAAACGCTCCGTCTTGATTAGCGAGTAAAACGCCGCGGGTGATTATGTTGAGCGTGCAAGTCGCAACACAGGAGGGGCTGCAACAGTGCTCGTGGTTTTGAGGCTGAAACTGCTTTGTTCATGATCAATTGGACAACTCTGCACCATGATAAGACATCATAGAAACAAAGACTCCAGTTTCTTATTGTTTTGTGAAACAACTCTTACGAAGGGAATTCATCGAAACATGAGCAGAGTTGGAATAGACAACTCTCACCATAAAGGTTCCAGACGGCCATCCTTCAAGCATCACACATTGGAAAACGTCTACCACAACACCTTCGAAACTCTCTGTAGCCACCATAGCCGAGGACTGTGATTCGTGTCTTTTGCTTCTTTTACAGACGGAACACCTCCCATCTATGAAGAAAGCCAGCAATTCGACTTATGACTGGACGCTGGTCCGCAACAAAGTTACGCAGAGACGAGAGCTTTGGGACAATGATCGCACTGGAAGGATTATGTGGCTGCCCTCAAAATACCACATACGCCGTCGTGGATATGGTGTGAAACTGCCATTTCCTGACAGGGTATATAATCATCCTGTTGTCATTGTCCAATACAGGAAAGCAGACCGGATTGTCAGGGTTTGTACCGTGGGGTGCCCGGATTGCGATCGCTTTCTAAGCCAAAGTGCTAATACAGTTGTAGCTTACATCGCATAATAGTGAGACCATTGAGATGAGATATCCTCATAGTCCTGGCTCTCGCAAACAGTTTCTTCCGATTGCTCCGCATGAACCGCATCGCGATTTGGATGGTTGCATCATGGAGCTTGAGGACGACGGCCTTCTTAGCAAGCCGAGCTACATCTTTATAGGTGTGAGCTACGAGGTGCCGTTGACTGTATTGGAGAACTACCGCTTTGGCGGACGCCATGGTCCAGTTCTGGAGTTGAAATTGACTCAACGATCATTGAAGGATCTCAATAGATGGAGAGGACCGTGGACTATTAAGCGCGCCTGCACTATCATGCAACAGTATTCATAGAATATGCCTGCAATTATATAGATGACATTAGATCAATTCAAGTTTCAGTTATAGAGAAAAAGAGAGATATCCACAAGCACAATGCCATGCTTTGCTGTTGAAGTCGCGGAAAGCGACCTGCAAGTCTGGTAGAATGAACAAACACTGGTATGCGACTACATCACTATGGTATGGCCACGTTGATGTGAAGGTCATCTTTTCAGAAACTCGAAGCCATGGTATTCACTACTGTTGTTAACTGACCAAATATTCGTCGTGGCAAAACTTGTGACGGCCTTGTGTGTGTTTGCAGGCCATACTGATCTCTGCTCTAGCTGTCTCCTACGTCCACTATCACTTTCATAACAGCCTCTGCAGAGACTCACGTCGTAGATGTGCATTATAGTCTGATCCCATTTCAAGAGCCAAATGTCGTGCTGATGTTTCACAGTGCCTGGACGACTATCAGAGTCTCGAGACAATTACTTTCGCTTTCATGCGTCCCTTTGCAAGTCTCCTCAACCACTTACTTCAAAGCACTTCATCGCTAGAAAGGTATACAGAATGTTTAAGTCCAAAGTACACTGCTCTACGTGACAACGAGAAGCAGACGTTGCCTTTGAATGGTCGCGACTCGTGCCTGGGATAACACCTGAAGACGCTATAATTTTAGCGTGGATGGTGTCTTATCATGGCTTGCTCTGCTGGGCGCACCGTTATCTCAAGGCGAATCGCCAGCAAACACTCCAGTAAATCTGCCTCAATCATTGCCTCCCAGTCTCTTGAACTTGATCGACTTGAACAGGACGTCGGGGATGTAAGCGAGCGTCCAGATGGATGCGTCCCTCCGTCGAGCTCTACCGCCCTCATCCCCGTCGCCGCTCCGGATTTCACAGCGGCAGCCGACCGCCTGTAAAGGTTGTGATTTTGCCTCAACTTAGCGGCTCAAGTGCTGATTGTCCTAGAATGCTCTCGCCGAAAAGTGCGCTGCGACAAGCAGATCCCCTGTTCGCGATGTGTGCGGCTGTCTAAGCCCTGCACACGCGAGGTGGTCAGGGTGAGCAAATCGCTTACAAGTCACCGCGACGAGCTGCAATTTCTTCGTCATTTGCTTGAACATTTGCGCTCGAGCGATGGGCTCCATGCGGCCATCGACGAAGTCGAGCGACGGGTCCGTCTTTTAGAGACTGAAGGCGACTCGGTCGAACGCGAAGGCGCAACATCTGCAGTTTCTGTCCAAAGTGGAGCACCAAGATTTCCGTTTGGTGTCGTAGAATCCGGCGAGGGCGAAGCAAACCAATTGCTCTCGCCCCAGACGACCTACCCTGCCGAGTCTCATAGCGAGAAACAGGCGCAGAGCATCAGCTCGGACCTCAGTGCAAGTCATGCTGATGTCGACCATGTCCAAAGTGGCAATGCTAGCATTCTGACAGCCGTCGAGTTCCTGGCCTGGGGCCGACATAGTGAGGCCTGCTATCCTCATCGCTCATGTAGCTGCTACCAGCACCGTCGCTACTCCGAGCTGACCTCAATCAATAGCGACCCTACTTGGATTGGCAGACAGGCTATGCCCATACGTGTCGATGCCGAGCTACTACTCCCAGAGGCGGCCGCAAGAAAGATCCTAGGGTTTCATCTAAAACACATTCATTGGCATCACAATGCTTTCCACGCCCCAACCTTTATGCAGAAATGCGAACAGTTATGGCAATTTGGCACCGTGGACCATCCGCTTTGGACGGCGCTCTACCTGTCAGTCTGCAGTGTCTCGCTATGGACATTGCTCAATAATGACCACCATCGAAGAGCTTTGGGTGTTGACTTTGATGAGACTCTAGTAGAAAGACAATTCCAAGCTTTCGTCACTATATTGTATGACGAAAACTTCCTGGAGCACCTATCCCTTTACTCTATTCAAGCTATCGTCATATCTACAAGGATTGCTCATAATCTGGGTCGAAGTGATCTCAACGCGACACTTGTCGGAGCAGCCGTCCGCATTGCTCATTGTCTGGGCCTACATAAGATCTCCGAGCTCACGCCGGATATTGCTGTGGATGAACCACCAGTTAATTGGTATGAGCGTGTCGAGGTCGAGACAGGCAAGCGCGTGTGGCTGCAGCTGGTAATCCAAGACCATTTCCAAATTCCATTTACCGATACATACAGTAAGTAACCAGACTTCATAAAATGCAGTTTCGAAAGCTAATCTACCAAGTTATCAACCCATCCCAATACACAACAGATTTGCCACGAAACTGCAACGATCATGACATGATTGAGAGGGATCACCGGGTCGCAACAGGCTCCTCCTATGTCAGGATGCTGGCCAACTCGGCGGCTCTTGTGCCTCCTTTACTAGACGGACTCGGCACAATGAAGGCTCGAAAGCCGATCGGGGAAATCTATGAACACATTCTTGCCTTTGACAAGGCTATGAGGTCCAATGTCCAGCGGATTCCAGACTTCCTCCTCCGCGAGTCTCCCCCAGATGGTGGCGCAGACTTACCCTGGCTCCCTCTAGCCAGGCGCACGTTAGCTATCAGCGCCGCCGAGAAGATCATCATGATACACCGGCCTGTTCTATTTCATTCATTTCAGAGCCCAGCTTTTGCCAAAACGAGGGCGACATGCATTGCAGCTGCGACAACCATACTCAGAGAACACGAGTACGCTACGGCGGAGAACTCCGTCTCGATCTGGACTCATTCAGCATTCTGCGTCACGGCAGCAATGGTGCTTGGCTTGGAGCTTTTTCATCGGACGGATCACACCGATGACACGGCCCATAGATACCGCCAGATGATCATAAGAGCAGCAGAGAGGCTCCGAAGGCGTCGGTCTGATGCCATTGGGAAGCGGGGAGCTATCCTGATTGACACGATCTTGGCAGCAGAAGAAGATCTCGTTGTTCGACTGATGCGAACGGCGAGACAGGGAGGCTCAGTCGAGTCTCGACAGCGGGCTGTGATCAATGAAATGATAGGGAGCCATGAGATCATGGCAAAGTTCTTGTCTATGACTCCGCAAGAGACCTCTGGCCTTCTACTCGACCCCCTCACTGTCATCGATCCATTTCAAGGCGCAATGGACTTAGAGTCGGGCCAGGACTTTGACGCATGGTTCAACGAAGTATTCGCACCTGTATACAGCCCTCTATTGTAGTACCTCTATTGTAGTATTGAACCTGTACTAGCCCCTCAATGCAATCATGTCTATTTCTCGCGCCTTGTACATTTATCTCTCATACGTGTTCTCAAAAGTTGTACAGCTGCTGCTTCGGGGTCTGGTCATTTGAAGCTTGCTCCAGCACCGCAGGATCTCGCCCTTTGTCATCCGTGTATACGTTATAACTTGTCACGACATTGCCAGACTTCTTCATCCGTCGATTGGCTACCACATACAGAATGAGAAGGCCAATTACTAGAGCCACCGACAGGGACATGAAGGACACGGCAATGTTCCACCCACGATGGTAGTACGGCAGATCATCTGAGCGGAACAATTGACCGCCAACAATTCCTGCACAGTTTGCAGCCATGATAAACATTGCCTGCCAAGTATCAGTATCGCAGCCAGTCTCGAAAACCTGATTTTTTAACTCACCATGCGAATAGATCTTTCTGCGGGAGACCGAGCGTTGATCGACAGCCACGATCCATTGACAGCGTGCCACCAACTGCAAGTAGCACAGGCCATAGTCAATATTCCAAATTTCAGGCTTGCGCCCGAATTGTCGGGGAGGCACTTGTATGCGACGGTGAAAATGAACTCGATGGTAACAGCAATCAAAACGATGAAACCTCGTCGACCCCATTTATCGCTAGGAGCATCAAGAGTCAGCAAGTCGATCCACAAAATGTAGCACTGAAGAGATATTACTCACGCAGCGACTCCAGCTACAATCAAGAGGAAGACCGATATCCAATTGCCGATCGAAGTCATGGCATTAGCGGCAAGTCGGTCATACCCGAAGGAGGCAACGATACTTGGCGCATATGACCAGAGCGCAGTGGTCGGTGCAAGACCAACAGTTGTCAGGGTGATGTGGAACCAGAGCTTCGCGTTTTTCAACTAGGTAGTGTTAGTGCCGTTTGAAATTATGTGTGATATTTCTGAACTGACAGTATTGATGATATCGGAGAGTCCAATATGCTGCTTCTTGGATACCTTTGATGGGTCGTCTAAAACGATTCTCTGCTGTAAGATCATGACTTCACGGTCGTTGAAGTACCGAATGCCGGTAAGAGAGACTGGATTAGAAGGGCTACCTGGAAAGAGGCAAGCAAAGACAACTCCCGCAAGGATTGTGAAGATTCCTTCGAGCTATAAATGGGTTAGTGAGTATTTTTGACTTGGTGACCAGTGTTAATTACAATAAAGAGCCATTGCCAACCTGCTAGTCCAGCAACACCGCGCATGTGAAGGCTAATAAGGTAAAGTATATCAGCACCAAGACTCAAGTCTGCTATAGGCTGGAGTTACTTACATTGCATAAGCAAGAAGTCCGCCTGCTGCTGTTGCAAGACCATTGCCGATGAAGTATAGGGCGAACCGTTTGCTCAATTCACCCCCCTTGTACCAGAGCGAGAGGGTAAAAAGACCACCGGGAATGAAACCAGACTCAAGCATTCTAAGAGTACGTTAGTATCAGCACTAATTTGCAACCCGTGCTTTAACAACGTACCCAAGTAGCAATCTTGTCGCAAGGAAAGCTGGCAGTCCGTGCTGGAAAGCCTGGAAGGTTGCCACCAATCCCCAGGCGAAGATCTGACCACTGATCCATATCTTGGGTCCCAAACGGTATAAAATTATATTACTGGGAATCTAAATTGGGGTCAACTGGTGTCGTTTATCTCTCGGTGGATTGACGGCATCACAAACCTCGAGTAACACAATCCCCGCGTTTAGCAATTGTTGGCCAACATTGAACATGTTCTGGCTGATATCGATGTCTTTCAGGAAGTTATCGGTAAGGGCATTTCCACTGAGACAATAACGTTAGCTATAAAGTTTTGCCAAGTGTATGTCACAGAGTGTGGCTACTCACATGTTGGCGCGGTCTAGTTGCAAAGCGAAGAACGCCAGCATCAAAATAGGCATCACAATCGAATCAATCCTGCCAGTCAAAGATCAGCTTTGCATATTCCCCTGCTTAACGGATAGCCGACCCACTTTCGAACCAGTTTCTTCTCTTCTGCAGCTGTCCATGCTGCTGTCCAACCGGAGGACATCTCGCTGGTGCTCTGACTATGTGCGTCCGCAGCCACTCGGATATTGTCCTTCTCTAACCTATCCGTAATAGCCTCAGCCATTGTAGAATACTGTAAACTTAACAATGCCGACCACTAGCCAACGAGTATAGGCCTTAATAGTACTGAGTGCAAAGTTTTCTGAACTCAACGAGACTTCATGGAGAGCACAATTTTGCCTGACTCGAGACCGGGCTTCCTTCACTCAAGATATAGATACTCGAAGAACTTGCCATTTCCACACCTTGAAGATAGACAAAGATAAGGCTGTGATGGCATCATCAAGAAGAAAAGAGGTTATTCGTCGATAAGACAGCAGGGGCGGACGATTATCGCCAGACTAGAATGAGAACAGTGGTTCTGGCCCATAAAGTCTTGATCCGCGCGCGGCCCCACAGCGGGTTAGATTTCAATCTCGGCCGCTCTCCCACTCATGCACGCACCCGGCGGCGAGTGGCGTGCGAAGAGGGCGGGCTAGAGTAACTCCATGTCCGTCTTTTATCATTTCTGCATTTGGTTTTCGATAAGTCACGGAATCTTGCGGTACAGATCGGTCAAGACCGCAAAGTCGTCCATGAGTTCGCCGCTCAGCGCTTTTTGACCTCCTCTCAAGTGATTTACTCGGCTGGAATAAAACCACGCGCCCCTCCGAGCTGGAAAAGGAGGGCCCAGAAAGATCTTGAAATTCTTGGTTATTACACAAGATGGGTGTCACTCTTCTTTCCTGGGCTCTTTTATTTGCCCTTGTTCTGTCAGATTCAACATACCGCACGCGACCAGACCTGTCGCCACCACATCTGAACATTACGATTCCGTGCTCTTCAGAATGTGAGACTGGATATCTCTTTGTAGCTCCATTTAGGAGCTACGGCGAACCCGATGATCGGGGATCTATGCAGGAAGCCCCGTACATTATTACGGACACGGGTGATCTTGTCTGGTCTGGATTTACTTATTTTTCAATATGGGCTGGCAACTTCCAAGCAGCCCGATGGAATGACAAGGATGTTCTCTTCTCTTTCGAGGGCTCTCATAATGGTATGCATGGCCATGGTCACGGGCATCATACTTTCCTCGACCAGAGCTATGGAAATATTCGGGAGCTAAGGGCCGGGAACCACATGCTTTCTGACAAACATGAATTCATCGTTCTCAACGAGAAGACGGCATTAATTCAAATATATCACCCGATGCAAATGGACTTGCGGCCATATGGTGCTGTTGGTGGTCAAACGTGGGTGGTTGATGCAAGGTTTCAAGGTGGGTTGTGCTGTCTGTGCTGGCTTTTTGCACCTATTAACTGGTCTCACAGAACTTGACATTGAGACCGGAGACGTACTATTTGAATGGCACAGTTTAGACCATGTGTCACCTGATGGTAAGTGATGAGACCGAGTTAACTTTGCAGCTCTTGAAATTCTAACATTGGAGTGCAGAAACAGCTTTACCCCTCCCGCTGGGCCAGGCAGGTATTGGTTACAATAGTTCTACGGCTTGGGACTACTTTCACATCAATTCGATTACGAAAGGGCAAGACGGACATTATCTCTTATCCGCGAGGCATGCGTCCACACTTTTCAAGATTAATTCCAGTGATGGAGCGATTATATGGCAACTGGGCGGTCAGAATTCTGACTTCGCTCTTGGGCCCAATGTGACATTCGGCTTCCAGCATCATGCTCGATATCTTCCCGGCAGCAATGATACTCATGATTTCATTTCTCTATTTGACAACTCTGTTTATGGCTCGGAGTCGGCTGGCGGCGGCAAGCAGGAAGTCCGCTTATATCCATTCTCTCGGGGCAAGTATATCTCCCTTGATCACACGACGAAGACTGCGACTCTGGCGAAAGCGTTCCATCCGCCTGATGACTCGATTCTCTCCAAATCCCAGGGCTCACTTCAGACTCTACCAAATGATAACGTGCTGATTAACTGGGGCTCCGAGGGGCAAATTACTGAGTATCTCCCGGACGGTAATATTATATTTCACGCCTTTCTTGGAAGCGGGTTCCTGCAGGACAAGTTGCAGAATTATCGTGCCTTCCGATATAATTGGACAGGTTACTCACCCGAAACGCCTGCTTTACTCGCCGAAGAGGATGGTGAAGGTGTTGTACGAATGTACGTCAGCTGGAATGGCGATACAGAGACGAAGGCATGGAAATTCACATGGTTCGAAGAAAGTGAAGAGGGTATTATGTCCAGGCGAGAAAAGGAAGTCACGAGGACGGGTTTCGAAAGTGGTTGCAAGATTTCCGCTCGCGGTTCAACAATCTCCTCGGTTCGAGCTACGGCGTTGGATAAGAATGGCAGAATGTTGACAGTCTCAAGTGAAGTCAATGTTACAAGGACGCTTTCGAGTGTATTGAGGGAAGCTAAAACGAGAACGGTGCATCAAAAGGTTCTCGGAAGCTTTGAGCTATAAGGCTAGAATGACTATAACAAATGGGTTTATCACGAGTTTTCAACATGAATTTGGGTATATAATGTATTTATTTGAACAAATCCGGCCCAGTTCGCTCTGTCCAATACACCATGAGATACCACAATGAGACGTAATGCCAATGTCTCTCTTTATGGTAAACAATTTAACACAGTAAAACGTGTATAATGTATATCTGTCATTTCTATGCTAGAAATTTGCCTCTGACAGTGATAGTTATTGTTAAGAGCTAATCAAGAAGACTACGCTTTTTCCAATTTGACTTTTGTGTTTACATATCTACTTTTCTAATCCAAGATTGTGCTAGTGACTAACATTCCTTTTTTCTATTCAGTGATTGCTCTTCCCAGTCCTTGTGGTGGCCGAAGATTGATGCCTTTTCTTTCGACTTTTTCGAATCACCTTGGGCCAGCCGTCCAATCGAACCAAACCATGTCAGTGAGGTCGACTTGCTTCTACTTTCTTCCTCAAGGGAACAATAAGGCTGCAGGCAAATGCAATGATATTGACGAAAAGAAGAAAGAAAAAGCCTGTATGGCAAGCCTGATAGTAGATTGTTTGGGCAGTATGGCGGAAGTCTATGGGTAGGTCATGCAACGCCTCCACGGAGTGCGTCAGGGCATCAATAACGTCTTGGCCACCGGGAACACCCGCGAATGCTGCCTCGAGGTGAGATGCTAGAACGCTCTGGGTAATAGTAGAGACACAAGCGACGCCCCAGACAGCCCCCATTGAACGAACAAGATATACGAGAGAAGTGGCCACCGCATGTTCTGATCAGTCCATGTCAGTATTGACCATTATCATCAACAATGTAAAGGGTTGATGCTCACCGTTATGATCGACAGTTCTAATAAATCCGAATAAGCTCGACGGATATACCATGCCCTGTCCAAAGCTGCCAACAAGGAGATATACAGAGTATTTCCACAATGGATCGACCATGCCCAGCGATAAGTTGAGACAGCCACCGATCATGAGAAGCACAAGGCCAATACGGGTTAGCAAAGTAAGCCGGTCCCCGTGTCTCATTATAATGCCGGTTGTGAGGCCACCTAACGGCGTAGCCAAGGATGGCGCAACAAGTCGCAAACCGGCGAGTGAAGCAGAATCAAGAAGCACGGCTTGGAAGAACAGTGGCATCAAAAAAAGAAACTAGGATTTTGTCAGAGACCGCACCTCCCTCAGGGTATTTGATTACTTACACCATACCCAGATATACCAAAACAGATACTAGCAATCAGCAACGCTGCTTTCTCTGCGCTTTTCAACATGCCTAGTGGCATCAAAGGAATCGCCCTTGTCTTGCCTTCCACAAATAGAAAGCCTACTAGGAGAAGTGTGCTGACAATAAGGCAACTCAATATAGCTGGATGCGTCCACGAAAGATCGTTGCTTCCCATGCTCATGGCCGCCAGTTGCAGGGACAGTCCAACAAATAAAAGACAAGCACCACTAATGTCGACTTGTTGCCACATTGATCGACTTTTAGGAATATCTCCACACTCATTAGTGCTTTCAATCTTTGTCGGCGTTTTGATGACCATTTGGCCAATCAATAGAGCTGCAACAGATATAGGAACTTGAAAGAGGAAGCAGTATCGCCATCCAATTGCGTCAGAAACGACACCGCCTAGAGTGGCCCCAGTAATGGACCCCAAGCCATGCAAGACGTTTTGTGCTGCTTGATACATTCCCCTTTGTTTTGGCGGGATTAAGTCTGAGTTGATGATAGTTGCTATCTATATTTAGTCTGCTGTTCCTCGCTGGAGATCGAGGGCAGTACTCACCCATTGTCATCAACCCTCCTCCACCAACGCCTGTGATACCACGCATTATGATGAGTGTAACAAGGTCAGGACTAAAGGCACATCCAAGACACCCCAGACCAAACAAGGTGGTAGCAATCATTAGACATACGCGCCGACCGAAGATGTCAGAAAACCGACCATAAAGAGGCTGCAATGCCGTGCTGGTTACTAAGTAAGCCGTGGTAATCCACGAGGCGAGATTAGACGACCGAAACTCGGAACTAATCAGCGCATATGTTGAAGCCGTAACTGTCCCATCAAACCCCGACAAGAAAACATTTGCAAAAATGGCAATCTCGATCCATAGGAACCACTGAGGCTTAACCCAGGGTTCCTGTTTGGTATTTGATGAGCCTGCAGACTTGGGTAGGAGAGGATCTTGTTCTGTAGCAGCCATAATTGGATTCATATCGTCGAATTCGTCATTTTCATCGAAGTTACGGTCGTTTTGTGACATTCTTGTTTTTTGTGATAACGTCATTGCGTCTTAGTGACATTCGAGAGGGAAGGACCTATATTGGACTCGCAAACATCTCTATCGAACAGACTATTTTTGTCTTGGTATTACTCCTTGGAAGTCGCAATTAATAGTGT